GGTATATCTTTCAGTTAGGTGGTGGTTATCTGTTTGGGTTGCCTGTGGGTTTTGTTGCTGATTCTATTGGTGCTACAATTGGTGCTGCTGCAGCTTTCCTTCTTGGAAGAACGGTAACTATTCATCTTGAAATACTAGAATAAATAGAGGTACAGATGCTATATAGAACCTTGTTTAAGTAATATTTTTGGAGAAGTGATGTTTTTGCTGGGATCGGTGAAATGCTTGTTTTGAATTATAGAATAAACTTCATTAAAACTTCCTATTCTCTATATTTACCCATTGTTTTCTCTAATGCATGACTTTTTGACTTTGAGAAACCTTAATGCTGTCAGCTACTGCAAGTTTGCTTCTCAGCAGATTATTTAATGGGTTATTACAGATTGGGAGGTCATTTGTTATCTCCAAGTTGAAAGACTATCCACAGTTTCGTGCAGTTGCAATTGCAATTCGAAGGTCTGGCTTTAAGGTTAGTGTATGTTGGGACCTTATAGTTCGTCTTTTATCAGTTTATCTTTGTAATTTATTGAAAGTTGAAGGAGATTAGTGTGGATGTAATATAACTTCACGTCTTATTTACAGATTGTTTTGCTGCTACGCCTTGTTCCTTTCCTTCCGTTCAACATGCTGAACTACCTCTTGTCCGTGACACCAGTTCCCATTATGGAATATGTGCTAGCTTCATGGCTGGGAATGATGGTTGGCACTCCTTCTAATTCTATGCATGCATGTCTCTATGTGTGTCTCTATATATAGCCCTTTCTGAAATTTTTTTTTTGGTAATTTTCCATATGCACAAAACTCTCCTGACGATTTCTTCATCATCCAGTAAGCCATAGCAAATACCATAATATTGAACTCAAGTATTACACTGGTTGCCATATACAGATATACTATATTTCAATTTATTGTTAGATTAAAATGTTCAGTATGTTTGAAACTTGTTTTCTTCAATGAGAAGACATAAGGTGATATATAGTTGGGACTTGAACATGAGATTTTATGTTATCTCAGGAATTTCTTGGGAAATATGCATATCTCTCATAATTGTAGCCAATGCTAAGAATGGAATAAGCATCCTGAATGGGGATTCCATAATTGTGGCTCTTTGTATAAGATTCGGATAATATTATTGTTGAGTCCATGAGCCACAATAATGCTAGAATGACGTACTGGATATGAAGTAGGCTGTGTCTCTTTATGGAGTCTTGTGAATTCCAGACTCCCAATACTCATAATGGATTGGAGATAGCTGTGGGTGTTATATGTGAAAATTCTAAGACCAAAATAAGTGGATCTGTGAGTTATAAGGAGAAAATATTTTGTTTCCTTGGATTCTTACTGTAACATAAGACTATTGTCTGGGATCAGGGTCGTCTTTAGCTCTCATGCCTGTCAGTTTGCATATTGTTGGCCTGGTTTATGTGTAAACTGCAAACACGCCTGACATGCAGATTCTTCACTGATCAGATAATTAGTTTGCTATTTAAATCTGATATGTGTTGTTCTATTCTTTGTATTGCAGCCAATTACTTTTGCACTGGTGTACGTTGGAACAACTCTGAAGGACCTTTCTGATGTAACACACGGGTGGGGTGAATTCTCAAAAACCCGTTGGGTAAGACTAGCTGAAATTCATATCTAAATTTAAGAAGTGTTATAACCACATTCACTTTCTCACCCTTTTGGTCAAAAACTTGCATAAAATCTTGATGTTTGACATATTAGTCTTTTGATATCTGCGTCTACTTCTGGTGTAGGTATTCATTGTGTTGGGCCTTCTGGTGTCTGGTAAGTCTAAAGACTTTGCTAAGTTTTATAACGTAGAAACAGAGTTTAGAAATCACAGAAACTGTCTTCAGGCCGGGATTCATATTATAAAACAAGTAAACAGTGAAGTTTTCAAGATACTAAAGCATATTCTCGTGGTTCTTTCAATCATCAAACTTAGTACTAGGTTGTTCTAAATCTAACTACTGGAAATGCGAAACTGATCTTCGAATCCGTTGCAGTGGTTTTAATGATATGCGTTACAAGAGTAGCAAAGGCTGCGCTAGAAAAAGCATTGGCTGAAAACGACGATGTTGATGACATATTGGAATCACCAGAGCTACCCGTTGTGGCAGATCCTCCTGGAAATCTCAACCAGCCGCTTATAATCAAGATAGATGATGCTCGGGATAATCATGAAAATTGAATGTTGTAATATCTGTAAATTCTATACCTGATGCAATGTTAGTGGTTATTTCTAGCTTCTGATACGCGTGTGGTGTTGATGCAGAGATTCTTCTCTTGTACAGTCGGATAATACTAATGTACTAAGCTTGGACAGAAATGGATAGCTTCTAATTCTTCAATTTTCTCAGTATACAGTTTTTTTTTGGATAGTATTTTTGTGGAATATCATTCCTCCCAAATTTGAGATAATGTGATTTTTTTTTTTTTTTAAAAAGAAACATTTTTAGTTCTTGAATTGCATTTTTTCAAATTTTTATGCCATTTACAATTCAACAGGCCATTTATCATAACCATTTTAGTATGTGTTACCAAATCATCACTCTTTGAGTTGAAAATAGCACGAGTCAGTATACTATTTAAATGACAAATTTGACCTTGCAAAATTAGGGGTTTTTGCACTTTTTTATTGAGAGCTAACAGAATTAGACTAAAAATGCTAGAGTATAAAAAATTAAGGGACTGAAATAATATTACTTAGAAATTGAGTCTACAGTGACAATATAACTCACAACTGTCATTTTTCTCTTAAAAATATAAAATTAAGAATGTAACAACTACCTTAAACATTCCCCAGCTAAGGGAATCTTCATTTGTTATTTTTTGGAATTTTTTTATGAGGCCAAGGTTGAAGTGGAGTAAAGGAGAGAGAAATGTGAAGAACTCTTATTACAATGCATGGTTTTTTGTGGGGTTCACTAAAAGAAAAAAAAATTAAAAACACATCATTCTAGTGCATGTTGTGCGCACTAAATGCATCTAGCCAGGCGCGTGCACTCCACACGTATTCTGAGCGCATAAAACAAGTTTGTTTTATTTTGTTTTTTTTTTTTCCTTCTATTTTCTTATCCATACATCGCTTGAAAAAAAAAATTAATAAAAAAAAAAAAAAAACTACTTCACTATTGAACTTGTTCTTTGTTTGGATGCATGTTTTGAACGTTAGTGCAAGCTAAGGTGGCATTGGCATGTCGTAATCTTGTCTGCCAAAGTGCAAAACCAACATGTGATATTGTGCTAAATTCCAGCCGTTGTAACCATGTATTCCAAACTCCTTCACAAATTATTAGATTGGTTGATTTGCCATCTTCGCCTGCCTTGCTCAACCTCACTCCATATCTCTAGGATTATATTTTAATCCAAAAATATTACACATTTTATGTCATTTACTCTTGATACGAATATCTAAATACACTCATATTTGATATTCGGTCATTTTATAATTTTATGAATGGTTCCTTGACTATTGATATTTACTAATTTTTATCTTTTGACTTTCAATTGGACCATAAATAATATTTGACTATTGATTTTTATCAATTTTTGTCATCGACTTTCAATATGACCATTTTATAGTCCCTTGACTAATAGAAGGGAAATTATCAAGTTACAATACAGAGGATTCAATTAGGTAAAATCATCAAAGTTGAAGACTCAATTAAGCACAAAAACATGTTTATGACTAAATAAAAAAAATCACTATAATCGATGATTAAATTAAGTATTAAGTCAATAAATAACCAGGACTATGTGGTCTAATGGTACCCGGGTTGGACTTCCATTTGGAAGATTATGAGTTCAAGCTTCAGTGGAGGCGTTATTGGTTCTTTGTCAGATATTACAATGTAATAGAGCCAGTAACTTTAAATGAATCACTTTAAAAATTATGATCATTTAACATTTAAATAAAAAATACAATAGAACTCTAATTTGAAAAATTTACCACCACCTTATTTATTTATTTTTTAAAGCAAGTCGAATAAAAATATTATCAATTTTGTCTTATGATTTAAGGATATCTTTAGCGACAACATAAAAAAGATATATTGTTAGTGCATTAAATATTACAAAGTAGTGTGAAGTAACTTGTAGTTGAATGACACCTTTATGAGATGTTTCGTTCATGGAAAATATTTTTCAAAGGAAAATATTTTCTTTAAAGTGGAGTAAAATGTTGCTTTCTAGTGTTTGGTTCATGGAATTCATGGATCGCCTATTTTACCCTTGTTTTCTTTTTTTAATTATATTACTCCTATTAATTTGTAGGGACATATAGATCTTTATACTCGTTATTCCTTACAATTCCAAATCTAACCAAACAATAGAATTAGTATTCCTAGTAATTCTTTTTCCACCAACCAAACAATGAAATTCATCTTCGTAATAATTATTTTTCCATGGAATTTCAATTCTACTTCCCTTAAAATATTTTCCGCGAACCAAACGAGCCCTTATAGTTTTCATGAGAGGTCACAGGTTCGAACCGGAATTAGTATTTTTGTTAAAATATAATATAAACGATTGTAACAGTTGACATAGCCATATTGTTTGAGACCATATGCACCCACCACGTGGCACGTGCTGATTTTTAAAGGCATAAAACACTTATTCACCACATCAATCATTTACTAGCAATTCCTAACCCAAATATCCAATTTCCACAAATCACTCTCCCAGTGGTGGCAGGCAATTTCTCAATGATTGATCTGAGGAATTGTGATTTCTGAAAAATGAAAAATTAGGGTTAGGGTTTGATGGTAAACAGTTGAGGTGATTGGAGAAGTCTTTTAGTCCTCTGAAACATTTGTCCAAATTCAAAATCCTCAATAGAATAGGAAAGCCTGAATACATCTGATAAATTATTATTCCACAATCTCCTACTACAGTACTAATATATGTGATCTACTATATAGCTTGGCAAAAAATTACAAAGATAAATGATATGTATGTGTATATATATATATATATATATATATATATATATATATATATATATAGATCCCAAGCCTTGTATTCATTTATCCAAAAAATATTACCCCTCCCTCCTATCAGTGTTGCCGGGGCGCGATAAACGCAGCCTGGAACCGATGCTGCTATCTCGTGCACAGCGCGTTGAGCAGCACGTGACACAGCATCAGGTCCACAAAGTACTGGTGTCCTATCTGCCCATCCCTCCACCGGTACTTGAGCGGGGCGCGGCCGTAGTGGACCCCGTCATTGCACCGGTTGTCGTAGTGCCACGGGTAGGTCATGTCAAAATCGTCAATGACCCGGTTTAGGACACCGTACGCCTTCAGTTTATCCAAGACTACCCCATTGAATGCCTCCATTTTGTGAGGATTGAAGGCTAGGCTTCGGGCATAGCCACCCGTTGTGATTGTAGTCCTATATATTACCTCGGGTGGCGCCAATCCTCGCTGCTTCACCGTTTCCACTATCTTGCTCCAAAAGGCGGCAGCATAGTCGGCACCTTGGATGAAAGATCTCAGATTAGGCCAATACACTCCATCGTGTAAACCCGAGTTCATGATGATGGTGTCGGGAACAACATTTCCCGAGAAATAACCTTTTAGCAGCTCCCGGTACTCTACATTTGATAATGAATTCAAGCCCAGATAGTTCGCGGTTGCGTTATGATGACCGTTGAAAATGCTTGTAAACCTGACCATTTGGGATGGGTTCTTGGGGTTGGTTATGTTCATGTCATACCTTCTCGGAACAGCCTTAACCTCGGATAACCCCAAAACGAAGTTAAGCATATTCCGGATGGTATCAACGTGGTTTGAATCGCCCCACCAGAAGATCCACCGGTTACTCAAACAATTCCATGCCTCTTCACTGGAATACATCTTGAACGAGCAATGTGTCGAGTATACCCACCCATTGCTCTCCAGCGAACCTAGTGGACCGTCACACCATGGTTTTTGGCACGGGAAATTTGGTTCTTGGCATCTGTATCGCCCATCGTTGCTAATAGGGCAGCTATCATTCTTAGCGTGTCGAGTCCACCGCCCCGACCAAACGTCTCTAGCAAGATCAGACTTTCGGCACTGTGAAATTTCTGGTAACTCCGCTGAGGATTTATTGAATTTGATGGGGATCACACGGAGGACTTGATCGACTGCGAATCTTTGAGGCGAGAATTTCAATCCTTCATAGTGTCGAAACAATAGGATGATGGTGAGATTGTAGTCCCCTGCAAAATCAGGGTGGACTTGGAGGGAAAACTTGTAGGTACCATTGCCAAAATCCTCGATTGGAGGCCTCGACTTCCATTTCTCGCCAGAAAGATCAGTCTCGAAATAATCCCCACCTAAACAACGAGGCTTCCCCGAATCATCCAATGCCTGGAAAACGAATTCGTGAATATCCCCAGTCGACAACTTGATACTACTCTCACTACCATCTACGCCTCGAATCATTATACCCACAGTTTTCGACTCCCTACACGGTTCACCGCCTCGAGCCATCCACCTATCGAAAAGCATCGACGAATAGTTGGCTTCTAATTCAGCTGAAATCCAACTCAACGTACTTGTTCCTACCAATTCTTGATCTCCCACACTCAAATTCACCATAGCCATACTTCCATTTTCAGTTAAATTAACTTCACTTGGAACAATTTCTGGACCCAAATCCTCTTGGGGTTGGGTCAAATTCTCAAAAGTTTGGCTGAGATTCAGCAGAGAATGGGGTAAAAGTGAAACATTGGTAAAGGTAAAATCTTTGAAGGTTGGTCTAAATATCCCAGAGCTACTATTGAGTCTCAGAACACCAAAATCTTTCTGCAAGCTACCCACATTAACATTGACACCATCAATCCCCCACACAATCAACATTCCAAGAAAAAACCCTATTACCAACACCTTAAACCACCATTGAACTATGGGATTTGCCCTCAATATCCACCCAAAGTTCCCATTTTTCTCAGAAATCCCTGAACCCAACATTCTTACACAGTACACCCCACTAAAATCTTGAAAACGCTATCTATAGTCCAAGCACAAAAATTTGTTTGAACAAGATTCAACAAAAAAAATGATGGTACATTTTCAAGAAAAAACAAAAGCAAAAACTATGTATAAATGAGTAGAACTTACAGCAGAGAGAGAAGAGAAGGTCACAGAAAGTTGTGGGAACTTTATGATGGAGCTGAAAATTTCTTCTCTCACTAGAATAAATGTGCAGAGAGAAAGAAAGTAGAAGAAGAGGACCGACAGAAGAGGCAATAATGGAACCACGAAAAGAAGAGAGAAGGAAAGGTTTTCAAGTACAGGAAAAGAAGGGGGATAGGCTGAAACAGTGAAGATAAATAAAAATCATAAAATTTGATTTTTTTTGTAAACAATAAAATCTGATTCTTAATTAGTTAATACGTAGTTAATACGGAGTATTTGATTTGGTCTCTCAACTATTATGATTTCACCATTTTGATTATCGACTTCTAAGCTTGTTCAATTTCATTCCAACTATATAATTTTTATCTAAAATAATCTTTTATCCAAAATAAAATAGTCTTAATTATGATCATTTTGGTTAACAATTACATAATTAGGGATGAAATTAAGCAAGTCTGAAAGTTGACGACCAAAATGATGAAATCCTAATAATAGATGACCAAATCTAGTATTAACTCTTGTTAAAAGTTTTATTACTTCTAATCTTACAAAAGATTAGTATTAATTTTTTCAAGGGAAAAATATAATATTTACCTTTTAAGTATTAGTGATTAGTTATTTTAACTTGGGAAAATAGCACTTTTTCCCTCTGAGTTATGTACCTATAGCATTTTTCTCCCCTGAATTATTGAAGTGGCTATTTTTTCCCCCTGAAATGTTAAATGGACATATTTACCCTTAAAATAAATAATTCATTTATTTTTTTTCTCCAACAAATTATGACCATAATTGGGTTCAAACCAAACAAACACTATAGCAACCAAACCGAAATATTCTAATTACAATTTTGAATCGAAATCCGATATTTAGAGTTTATTAAAATCGTGAACCGGAACGGATTGTTCATGTTCCGAACTGAAAAAAATGAAATACATTTATTGTTGAATTTAGACTATTTTAAAATAAAAACTAAAATTTTAAAATGAAGACAGTTCAAAATCGCGAACCGGATCTGGAACCGCCGATTTATAGTTCAAGATTCAAATTTTTTATACATAATTTAAATAAATTGACATCTAAATATTGGATTTTAGATCTGAATCATAACCGGATACTTTTAATTCGATTGCTTTAGTGTCTGGTTCAGTTCAAACCGAACGGTGGTCATCCCTACGTATACGCAATAATTTGTTGGAGAAGTAAAATAAATAAAATGTTTACTTTAAGGATATAAATGTCAATTTAATATATCAAGGGGAAAAAGCACCACTTTTAGAATAATTGAGAGGGAAAAAGTGCTATAAGTATATAACTCAGGGCAAAAAGTGCCATTTTCCCTTTTAACTTTTATTTTTATGGTAAATAAATGTCACTTTTAAGTTTTAAGCCAATTACCACGTAGTGTGATGACATCCGGAATATCTATCTATTTGGATGGTCAAAGGTTTGAACCCATTTTAAATTATTATGCCAAGATCTTGGGGTCTAATGACACAAGCTGCCCCCTTATTGTAGCAGAGTCAGTAGTACTCAAAAAAAAAAAAATTGTTGTGAAGTTAACTCTTTTTTATAATTTTTTTTTAAAAAAAACCCATAATACTTTGGCGGAAGATTTACATACTTTATTAGTGTTAAGATTTTTTTTTTTTTTTTTTTTTTAGAAAAATTGCACTTTAATCCCACAATTGTGACCGAAATTTAAATTTAATCTTTTAATTATTTGAAGTATACATTTAATCCCCTAATTTTTATCAAAGTGGAAAATTTAGCATCAATGGCTAAATTCATAATCAATATGCAACATAATAATGTGTCTAATTTGATCTATGAAGAATCATATTTGTCAGATGAACAAATTTAAAGTACTAAATTTACACCATAAATAAATAAAAGATTAAACTTGCGCAACATCACAATTATGAGGCTAAAATTTATCATTTTTCTAAGCTTTTTAAATAGTTAATAGAATGGACAAAATTGCAGCGATTTGTAATATTTGTTTTACCCATGGAGAAAAGTCGTGCACCGACAAAGGGAGCTGTGAGGAGGCTGGCTGGCGCAGTCTGGCACGCAGCGCCGAGTGGGGGCATTTCTGTCCCTTTGCAAGATCCGCGTGGTCCAACAACAAACTCCAGCCGTTCCACGACACCCGCCGCGATAACATTTGTTCTTTCCAAACAATTAAATAAGAGAAATATTTTATATTTTATTTTATATTCGATGATGTGTGATATAATAATTTATTAAAAAATGGATTATTATTTTTATGAGTAATTCTACTTGTACGCTCTTAATTCCAATCATCATTTTCTACTTTCTATGATTTAGCATGCTTTGACTGGTTAATTTAATAGGAAGTAATGATTTTTGAACATTTTTTTTTTCTTTCAATTAAATTTGAATACAAGTGAGAGTAAAAATTGAGAGTAGGTTTTTGGAGTCCATGTAATATTTCTTCAATTTTTATTAGGACAATGTTATATTCCGTATATCTCTACATTATCATTCACAAATTTGTCACATTCTGATGTGACAAGTTATAATAGGTTGAGATTTGAAATAAAAAAGGGAATAAAATGAACCTATTAAAACTTGCTATATAGAGAGTAGGCCGTTTGTGTGTGGTAGTTGCCCCACTATAGAGGTTCAATCCTATTATTCCTCATTTGTAATGGTAATAGAGGTGTCATTACACTACATAATAGTTGGGTTATAATAATAATAATAATAATAATAATAATAATAATAATAATAATAATAATAATAATAAAAGTTAATTCCATATTTGATCCTAGATTTATGTGTTAGTCCACTTTTAGTCTTTTTTTTTTTTTAATTAGAATATCCACATTTAGTCTTAGTATTTTCGAACACCGTGTGATGCATTTATGCATACCTAATGGTGTATGCCGCACTGACCGCACGGGAAGATCTGTTCTCATAGGAACTTGACCTTTACATATTAAAATTTAACATTTTGTCTTTAAAAAAAAATTAACATTTTGAAATAAAACTATTAGCATAATCATGATCTAGCATCTCATAATGAAATAGCAATATTGTTGCAAATCTCATAATAATAATAATAATAATAATAATAATAATAATAATAATAATAATAATAATAATAATAATAATAATAATAATAATTGCGGTGAAAGTAGCGGATAAAGGAGAAGAGAAAAGGGTTTTAATTGGAAAGGGTAAATTATTTCATTTATTTAAAATAATAAAGATAAAGATGGGAAAAAAGTTAGGGAGCTATAAGTTTATTTTGAAACGCTACCTAAGATAGCGTCCCAAAATAAGCTCTTATTTTAAGCTAGAAGCTTATTTTGGGAACATTACCAAACAAAACTTATAGCATATTAGTAGATTAAGGCTCTGTTTGGCAAACATAGTTGAAAAGCTATAAGCTAGGAGTTGAAAGCTGAAAATGAACTGAAAACTGAAAAGCTATAAGCTCAGAGCTGAAAATTGAAGAGCTCTTAAGCTAGCTGTTATGATTGAAAGTGTTTGGTAAAATTAGCTTTTTGATAAGCTGATAAACGTAAAAAGACTAAAAAGGACATCTTCATAAAATTTAAATTAGTTTGTTTACATATTAAAATTTAACATTTTGAAATAAAACTATTAACATAATCATAATATAACATTTCATAATGAAGTAGCAATATTGTTGCAAATCTAATAATAATAATAATAATAATAATAATAATAATATTTGCGGTGAAAGTTGCGGATAAATTAAAGGAGAAGAGAAAAGGGTTTTAATTGAGAAGGGTAAATTATGTCATTTCTTTAAAATAATAAGGATAAAGATGAAAAAAAAAAGTTAGGAAGCTAGGAGCTTATTTTGGGAACATTACCAAATAGAGCTTATAGCTTATTAGTAGCTTAAAATAAACTATAAGCTCCTAAATAAGCTCTGCCAAACAGAGCCTACATCCTGGGCCGTCATTATCATAAAAACTATAATGTACCATATATTGGATTATGCATTAGTGGATTAATAATTGACCCACACTGAACTATATATATATATATATATATATATATATATATATATATATATATATATATATATATATATATGAAAAATTATAAGGTGTCGATGGACACTTATGGTTTTTATACGCAGTATCATTCCAAAGTAAATGATGAAATATTTGAATTTGTATTGGGCACAAAGTTATCTTCACACTTTTGACTTTAAATTTGTACAAAAGGCACGATGTCAATTGACACCGTAACCGCCTTCTCCTCCACCCCCACACAAATATACTTTTGTATGAATACTAGTATAAAGTTCATGCCGAAAATATTTGTTAGAAGCGAAATTTTTTAAATATATTGAATAGAGATTGATATCCTTATTAATTCTCTTAGCATATGTTGCCTTACATCCCAAAAAATCTTAGCAAAATAAAAATTTTATATTAAAAAAAATTCATTCAAACCAACTAATGCAATTCCAGTAGTATTTGTATGATCAAATAGAAACCAACAAAATCCATTACTACAAAGTGAAGATACTTTGGTATTAACTCTAGCTTATTGGGGACATCATCCTAGACTAGGAAAGTATTTAATATTACAAAAAAAAAAAAAAAAAAAGAAGAACAAATTGTGATTAATATATAAATTTACTTATTGTATCTATGTTATGGCATAGGATCAGGCATTAAAAAATAAAAAATAAAAAACATTTTCTCCCTATCATACATGACATGCTAATTATGAATTGGACAAATTATCATTCCTCAATATGTAGTAGATGCCTATGAGTTGTTCGAACAAAAAAAAAAGAAAAAAACAAAATTTTCCAATCATTTCAAGTTCATCATCGTAGATCTTCTCAAAAGATTTTCAAGTTTCGTGAATTTTTGTAACAAAATTTTCCATTAAAGAGATCTAAAGAGATGAATTCACAATCCCATTTTTAGAAAGAGATACAAGATTAAATGATGGAATAAATTAGTCTAAATAATTGCAATGTCATTATTGTAAACAAATTCTTCAAGGACTATCTGAAGATGTGAAAAAATTCAACAAATGTCTCAATTAATAAGATAGAAGAATCTAAGAATCTTGTACTCTAATGGCACCAAGTTGAATTCTCACATGAGAGGTTATGGGT